GATTTACAATGCAGGCAATTGATAGGGGATTCATGTCAAGAAGTTATTTTAGAAAAGACTCATAAATCAGAGAGAAAGAAGTGGGGGAGGGAGGGAGGGAGAATGAGAATGTGTACAGGCTGTGAGCAGGCAATTCACAAGAGGGAAAACACAAATGGCCAGCGAGCACATGCAAAGACGCTAAACTTCGCCAGGAATTACAGAAATGCGCATTGAAATGATCTGGAGTTGCCGCTTCTCCACTCCTCGGATCAGCAATAATGAAAAACTCTGCCAAGGACGGGCAAGGGTGTGGAGCAGAGACAGCTCCCACACTCCTGGCAGGGGTGCAAACTGGACACACCTCTTGGGACACCACTGGCAATACCCAGCATAGATGCAAGGAGGCATGGTCCACGACCAGCAATTCCACCTTTGGAGACAGCCTTTGGGGACAGCACTGCCCGTGTGCACAGTAAGAACCGTACAAAAATGTTCATGGCAGCATTCTTCGAAATAGCAGAAAAGCAGAACATAATGGTCCAAGAGTAGGAGAATGGAGAAGGAAATCATACATTCAATGGAATTTACGCAGCAGTGAAAATAAATGAATTAGAAAAATATTAACATGCATAAATCTCACAGACATAATATTGAGGAAAAAGAGTAAATTGCATTATGACACAAGAAGCATAACACTCACGAAAATACTGAAACCCCATAAAGCAGAGGTGTACATTATCATGCTTATATACAAATGAAGTATTACTGTAAAAATCCTGCCTACAATTGGAAAAGTTGGAATTGTGGTTACCTCTGGGATAGGAGGGAGGGAAACAATTGGGGTGGAGATAAAAGGGGTTTTGACTCTACCTGTAAGAGTCTGTAAGACACATAAATCTGAAGCAAATACGGCAAAACATTAATACTTCTGGAAGCTGGGTGGGTGGTACACAAACATCTGTTACACTGAATTCCTTAAAAATGTATTGGAACATTAAAAAATATTAGATAGCTAAAAATATTACCTCCATCCCAGAGAACGCAATTACAAAATAAATTGGTGAACAATTTTTAAATGGCATAAACTGGATTTCAACATTGCGTTATAAATATACACGGAAATATGGGAGAGTGGTAATTGGACCTGGTTAGAGAACAGGAGCTTGGATGACGGCCCTTTCCAAATTTTCTATAATGCACACCCATCACTTTAATAACCAGGAAGAACAGTTTTAATGTGAACTTCCAACCCATGTCTTAAAGCAATTCAGAAAGGCTTCATATCACGGCGATCAGGCTCAGTGACAGGAGGCTCATAAGTTTCTCGGGCTCCCAATGATGGCTGGATCACGCCAGGATATTTAACCATTATTATTTGTACAATGCATTTGCATAACGATAGCTGCCTCCTGTCTCTGGCTCGATCCTCAGAAAGCAGATCCTGGAGACGAGCTTAGAAGCCACAGCTTTACCAGAGGTTCCCAGCTGAGGGAAGGAAGGCGTGGAAGGGGGGACAAGACGCAAACTCGAAGAGTAGTGCATTAGATCGCCGGCCGTGATTTCACGAGAAAGCACGAGTGGTCGTTCAGACGTGCGGGATGTCTCTGGACAGACGTACAGACCGCCACAGTGAGGGAAGGTGATCTGGGGGAGGACAGCAGAGGAATTTACCTGCTGCCTTTCAGTGATCGAGGTCTGCCCACGCGACACGAACCCCCAGCATTTTCCAGCTCCAAGTTCCGGATTCCGGTTCTACTACCATGGGTAGAAGCCACAGACCACAGTGCCCAGTGCTTCACCTGGGTGCAGAGACCGAAGGAGTGGAAGCTTTGATGGGTCTGGCACCCTGGGCTCGGGGGGGCCAGAATGTGTGTGGCTGCCCGCATGGTGGTTTGGGAGAGTGTGCCGGGCCGGCCCTCCAGGGACAGAGGAGCAGGCAAGATGGCAGGTGGTGTGGGGCTGGAGCTCCAGGTGCAGCGGCTGGGCCGTCCATGAAGGAGGTGCAGGCCCGGGAGGCCGTGGACGCCAAGCACATCCAGGGAGGTGCATGCCTGGGCCCAACCCCCAACAACGCATCTGTTGCGCCATCATCTGCACTCTCCCGTGACAACCAGCTCTCATATGCTCAGAATAAGATGCCCTCATCTTTTCCCAAGACGGAAAGTGTAGGTTCAATGTCCCTGCAGATGGGATTTTTTTAATTTGCTTTTTTTTTTTTTAATTTGACAGAGAGAGAAGGAACACAAGCAGGGGGAGTGGGAGAGGGAGAAGCAGGCTTCCTGCCGAGCAGGGAGCCTGATGCGGGGCTCGATCCCAGGACCCTGGGATCATGACCTGAGCTGAAGGCAGACGCTTAACGACTGAGCCACCCACCCAGGCGCCCCTGCAAACTCTATTCTAAAAAAGCAGGAGCATCAGCTGAGCCCGGGTTTACAGAGTCTACCCATCCTATTTCCAGCCTTCGGGCTTCTTCCTCAGTACAATGAAGAGGACGTTCTGGAATTTCCATCTTGTTTACTGTAGGAAAACCTCTGGGAACCCTACCAGGAATCATTAAGACTGGCTCCAAATTGTCCTTATAAGAAGATTAAATCCCAAGTCCCAGGCAAATGCCCCACATCCAGTCTCGTGTCCAGGGCTAGGTCTAACGTCCTCATCGGCTCCCACATAAGCTCCCCGGCTCCTGCCAGCATATTAGCCGCATCCTGTAATTCCTGCCGTGTGTGGACTGTCCTTCCAGGATCAGGGGTGATAATTCCCAGTGTGGGCCATCCGGAGACCTGTCCCGTTATCGTGGAAGCAACGACGGGGCAGGGAAATCGTGATACACATCGTGAGAACGTGGTCATTTCGCATCCTGTCCTCAGGCGAGGGGAAGGCCGGCCAGGCAGGAGGAGACAGGGCTATGGAAGGTTCTTGGCTTATGTACTCTGTGACCCCATCCCACATTTCAGAGGCTTACTCTGTCACTATGAGGAAAAATCGCCATCTGACATTGCAGAAGGAAGCCTGTCGAGGTCTCACGCTTCACATCTTCTGCAGCTCCACCATCCTCCTCATCAGATCCTGGGCCTGATTTTTCAGCGAGTCTTCCCTGTGGCTGATTTAGATAAGAATATCTCTGAAAGTTGCCTTCGATGCACCCAAGCTGGTAATTTGCTTTCCTAAGGCTGCCTGCCACTTCCCGTTTCCAAGGCCAGCGCTGCCAAGCCAGCCCCCCACATACAGTGTTCACGGATATCCTCGTCCCGGCTCCCTGCCCAAGGTAGAAGCCTTGCCTGCCTCCCGTTCATCCTAGTCAGCCGCACGCAGGAGCTCTAGGGATGCTGAACATACTGCTGGGATTGGTTACCTGCTCCTGAAGAGCAAGAGGGTCCCGTGGCTTTCAGATGGGTGGCAGTCGGATTCCCCAATCCCATCTGGAAGCTCTGTTTTCTGGAAAGCTTCTGGCACCAACTGGCTAATTTGGGGTTCCAAATATAACACAGTCTGAGGCAAAGCTTATATGCTAGTATTTGATTGTGGGATAAAATTACACGGCAACGGAACGGAGGGCAAGTGGAAATGCAATCAGGGAAGGAAGGACAGCAAATACAAGGTGGTGTGTTACAGGGTTGGCCTCTGCTTACAAAAACAAAGGGAGTCTCTCTGGACAGGCCACCCCAGAACTCCCATTTTCCTGCTAGCACTCTCCCCCTCCTGCACTGACCCAAGCTGGAGCTCGAGGACCCTCAGGACCCTCACTCCCCTGCCTGTGGGCTGTCACCACCCTTCTGAAAAGAAGGTGCAGATCCTGCACCGCATGGTGTGTTCTTCCTCAGAATTCAGGGGTGGAGCAGGGGGCCCAGCTCTCCAGGGTGTGACTGGGTCAGGCCTGGGTACCTGAGGCTCCCCCCTGCGGTGGGCACGATGGACACAATAGTTGTGGCCGCCCAGACGTTCCAGCGAGCGGTCAAGGGCCCAGGAGTTGATGTGCCCAGTAAATCGAGGGATTGGGTTCACCCTCTCTGTGCTAGACTCTTGGCTTAGTGCCACACAGTATCTTTAATCCTCCTGTCAAGCGGGTATGGATGTATTACCACCTACCTTTGAGGTTTTGTGTTACATACATGGCAAGCAGTACAACCAGTGTTTCAACCCAGGACCGTTTGAAAAGTACGAGAGTCCTTCTCCAAGCCGATGCCGTCCGTCTCCACCCCGGTCTCACTCTCTCTCCATAATGCACACCTAATTGTTGCACGTCTGCCATTCCAACAACTTTGAAGCAAAAGATGGCAACGACTATTAGAACACGAACCGTGAGGTTGGGTGGGAAGGCATGGCGGGCATGCGAATCGAGCGCTGATGGGACTTCAGAAAAGCGCAAGGAGAGCTTTCGTCCGCGTGAGTCCTCCAAACAGCACAGAGGAGCTACTCCAGTGTGGGCTGACATCACAAAGCCTCCTGAGAAAGTTCTTCCCTAGAAAACCACTGCGGCCCAGCTAGTACCCTGACGTAGTATTTTCACCTCGCTGATGAAACGTCCGGTCTTCACACGGGAGCCACTCAAGGTTATGTCCGTGTAAACAGCATTTCTTATGTGGTCCTTGAACCTCCAGGAAGCGTGGCACTGTCCCACGGCCTTGAAATAAAGAGAGTAGCAGCACCAGATGCCAGAACAAAGGGGAATGGGTTTCTAGTGACCTGAAAATTGACAACAGTCTCACCAGAGAGCAGAAGCATTAAAAATAGGGTCTTGGTGGCAAGACGGAGAGAGATGGAAGGGATTGTGTCTTTTTTTTGGCTTTAATTCATTCAATTGAGAGGTCCGGAAAAGTGTTCAGCTTCCACTTTATCTTATTATATATCCAGTCTCCATTTCTTTGTCATCAAGGATCTTCAAGCACAAATAGAAATATAATAATCTTATTTACTCAGCCCTATAACCTTTGACTTTTGTTTCTAGTATATTTGGGGAAAATGAACGATGTGCTTCCCACTTTTGTCTACCGTCATAGGCTTTGTTTTTGGTAGTAAAGATGGACTGATGGAAAAAGCTTTCTTTCATAATTCAAAACAGAACACAACAAATATGTCTATATACAGAACCTGCTTCTCAGTAGGGGCAAACATAATCTACTTTAAGAGAAGTTGGATGATTAAGGTGGGCCAGGGTCGGAAGAAAGGGATGTTCCTCCACCATCTGCCCCTGAATGCTCGTTCCCTTGGCCTTGGCTCCGCCCCTCAGCAACGCTGAGTGTGGAGTGACGGGGGGACTTAAAGTCGTCTTCGTCCTGAGGCAGCAGGCAATCACAGAAGAACCCAATCACTGACCATGGGAAAGCCTAGAGGTGATTGTGTAGGATACACTGTAATGTTTCAATAAAAAGAATAAACACAAGTGCCTTGAATAAAAAGTGCCAAAGCTACCGGGTAACCCTGAAAGATCGCACGGGACTTTCAGAACCATGGTTATTAAAACCCTACAAACACACGTTTTAGTGCGTAGCAGGAAAAGACAAACAGAACAAAACGCAAACCCTAAAGATAGTATTTAGTGACCTTACATAGAAAGACACACACACCACCATAGAACTCATTTTTACTTTATTAACAATGTGGCTTACAATTTTTTCAAGTAAAAAGGGTTTCTTTTCATTTAGAATAAAAATTAAAATATAACTCTGATATAGATTTATTTATTTACATGAAAACATATATACAGAATACAATCTTCCAGCAAACCAACAACATGCCCTTTGTCCTGCAAATTCCAAAAGTAAGAACACGAATTTTTCCTTTTACACACCGAAATGTACACAAGATATGAATCAGATCTCAATACAAACTACTCAAACTGGAATGCAAAACAGTAAAAGGGCTTCTGACATTCACGACTAGGGACAGTTTATGCTTCTGGATATCATGCTAGCTCCCATCGTGAACAACAAATGAGATGATTTCTTTCTTCTGTCATTAAAAAAAAAATTATCTCCAATTTCCCATCATAAGCTGATTTTCAGCAAACCCTGGTCCCAGAACTTTACTTTTTCTTCAGGGTATCCGCCAGGCCCATGGGAGCACCACTCTGGCTTCGCTGCATGACAAGATTGACATGTTCGCTGGTACGGAATCCTCAGCATTTAAAACCAACCAGGAAGATGGAAAGACCACCGCTGAGGAAATTGTTTGGGTTAGTTCTTACCACCTGAACTAGAGATGCTTTTAACCAAAACCCAAAGCAGCACCATGTGTCAGCAATTACAAATTTTAGGTAAATTCAGGGGGTCAAAACTAGCACAATTTGATTTTATCGCATTCGTGTTTTGGGATACTTGTAAACCAACTCTAGTGATGAAAGCTATGAGAACCAACTGAAATATTCAACCAAGTTAAAGGGACGAAAGCCATTTCCAGAAAACTCTTGAACAGAAAAGAACAGGAAACGAGTAAGAGAATCATTACATTGTAATAGTTGAAGACAGAGCTTCTCCTTGCTATTTGTTATTGCACCAGAACACAACGGGCAGTATGTCTATCTCTTCAACGATTGCTTCCTTAAAAACTACAGAGACCTAAACTTACTATCTTTTCCTTCAGAAATAATTGCACACGTGATCACAGCTTTCTAAAGACAGAATCGAATACTTGGATCCTAGATTCACCACCTTAACCAAAAAGCAACAATGGTGCTCAAACCACAACAAAGATTTCAACGATACAGTTTTTATAGTTCTATATACAGAAATAAACATAAATGGGTGTTCTACGTAAGAAGTTACAAAAACCCCTAGTGCTTGCAAAACGAAGGGAGAACAGCTCCTAGAGAGGTGTCTGGTCTAAGATAAAAGGCAAATCTCAGAACTTGCTTGATACAACACTCAGCATTCTAAGAGACGAGTCAGGACACTCAGACCAAGCTTCAAAGACTGATCCAAATCAACTTTCCAGAGATTATAGCAAGGGTCAGAGGGGGCAGGGTCAAAGGTTTGAGTCATTTTAATGTACCGAGGAACCAATCAAAGCAAACACAGGAAATACGCTTTCAAATATGATCAAATAAGGTAAAGCAACCTAATCGCTGCACAGCCCAAACACTGTGTGTGAGTCAAACTTTGATCAAATGAACCTAATTTTAAAAGCGATGGATGAGTTCTCTGGATGACGCAACTTGAAGGAAACTGGTTTCCATTTTCCTTTTTTTTTTTTTCTTTTCTTTTCTTTCTTTTTTTTTTTTTTTTGGAAAAGCAAAGAAGTTCGTTTGCAATGCCAGCCGTACCCTGCTCTTCTTAGGTTTATATTGTTGTGGGTAGGATAGTTTCCCAACACAATACAGACGCAGTCAAGAAGGCAGGGGCCGAACCAGCTCCCTTAGTTTCCGGAGGGGATTGCGTCGTGACTGTCAGCCTTAAAGACGAGGCAGCATTTCTGCTTCTCAAGTTATACACACTGTACAGAACGCCAAGTGTCCGCTCGGGCAGGAGAGGAAGACACGCTTCTCGACCAGCTACAGGAGGTAAAGAGCGGCACGGTGTACGCAGGACCCGGCTACACAGAGGACAGGACTTTGGTCCCGAAGTATTATCATAGAGACAGAGCAGAGACTGAAGCGTCTGGGGACAGAGAAGTGGGGGAGAGGCGTCACTTGCTGGCATTTCAACCAAGAAGCGTTTGGCTGGGGCTGTGGTGGTCCTGGGGGGGGTGGGTGGGTAGAGGTGTAAAATCAGCATTTCCTGCCTTAAGAGACACAGTAACAACACGGTAAAATGTGCCTTGGAAACTGGCCCTACTGATAAGACAGAAGCTGACGTGAGGTGAATCCTACAGAGGAACAAACACCACCTCACCATTCCGTTGCCAACTTGCTACCCACAGGAAGTACACCCACCAGTGGGAATCCCCCAAAGAATCCAAGTTCAGGAGGACGGTGGCGACACTCACAGCAAAAGCATCTTCTTGGCCCTAAAAGGTTTCTTGGCTCTTGGGAGGGCCAGGAGGGGACACATACAGGACCTTCGTGATGGTTACCCCGGAGCCGGGCCTTCTGCCTCTGGCCCCGGCCACGTCTTGCTGACCACGCACCATTACGTGGACGTGGGTGAAGTGACAGATCGCCGCACAGAGAGGGACTGAGGACAAGGAGGTGTCGGGCACACGGAAGCAGGAAGCTTCCCCAGCAACGGTGGCCGTGTCTTGCCCGGGCTGCCAAGGGGAGGCCTTCCAGCTCCAGGGACGCCTGCAAGATCTGCCTCATCCCATGTAGCACCTCCTCCCCCGCGCCTTTCCTTGAAAGGGCACGAGGAGGGGACATCCGTTCTGAAAGTACAACATTACGTTGCAGCCATCACACCCCCTCGCTCCGGTTTCAGATGCGACAGGAATAGCTCAGCTTGAAAAGGCCACAGTGAAGGATCGCGAGTGAGTCAGCGCAGGGAAAATGCCAAAGATCTTGAAATGGATACCCTTTCCAATCGACTCCACAAGGCTGAGTGTGTAAGGCTAGAAGCATGTGGCTGAGAAGGCAGGCAGGAGTGGGAACCCGGGAGGTGGCGGACCCCTCGGCGTGGGACACAGAAGCCCCGACTGCGAGCCAAGCACGAGTCACCACGGGCGCTTCCGGTGTGGGACGCTGGTCCTTCCAGAACAGGTCCCCAGGCAAACCCACTTGCCAAACGTTTCAAACTTGGTGGGAGAAGTCAGCTAGGGTGGAAAGGAAAAACTCACCTGGCAAAATCGGTTTTCCATTTGCATCTGTTAACAGGGACAGACTGTGAATGAAGGTTAGCGTTGGTCATCAAACTTGGCAAAATCTGGCAGATAATCGTGCTTTACAATGTATGCAGAAACAGGACAGCTCAGCAGCCCACCCCATGATGTCCCGCCAGCAGTGGATACTGATCAAGGAGAAAAGATCAAGGTAATTATGGCACAAGAGCAGCAGAAGGCTGTGCTCCCCTCCGTGTCCACGTCCAGACTCTCTCAAGGTCTAGTTTCCTTGCACACGTGTCGAAAGGCATTTGGACGCCTCCCAACGGAGGAGGGCCATCCATTCGGGTTGGAGTGAGCACACTGGGTCCCTCACAGGCATACGCAGATGAAGTGCTTGATACAAAAAAAAAACCCAGCCAATGCTCAAGAGTCCCAGATCTCTCTACAGGTGACTTCATGGATTTAATGAAAACTGCCCAAGAAATGTCTTCGGCACACTCCAAGCCAGAGTGGGCTGCCGGAAACAGTAAACACTGCTGATGTGATTCTTTCTCACCTACGGTGTCTCAACGTTGGCGGATTGAGACCCTTCCCTTCCCTTAGCAGGAGGCGGACGAGAGGCTCCAGAGTGATGTGGTCATCCAGGATCACAGGGGCCGGTCAGCCGGACCAGCAGAAGAGCAGGGCCGAGCCAGGTGGCTGCCCTGCTTCCCGTCGGACGTCCCAGGGCCAGGTTGATCCAAGTGGCACTCAAAGCCAGTCTCACTGACAGACTCACTGCGGGATCCTTCTATGGGGACACAGCTGGTTTATTAAAAGCTTCCCGAAGCCTCTTCCCACTCGTCTCTGATATTAAGCTTTTCCTTCAATACACAGCTCAGCATTTCCCAACAGACTAAAGGAATCACTCCCTGATCTGGTCACAATTAAATGAGAAAGTGAGCAATATGTGAAGTTCTATAAAAGACTGCAAACGGAACGCTCCACAGGCTCTGGATGTCTGTCGCTTGGGAAGAACGGTCTCCTTGCAATATGCCGCCTGCCTTCACGCCCCCCACTTCCTAAAAGGCACCTGTGACAGGTGATGCAAGTCTAGCCCATCCTTTTGTAACCGCATCCTGCAACAAGTGTGTCTGAGAACTAAGTTGCCACCAAGATCCAACTGAGCCACGCAGCCACGGCCCCATAGGCGTCGTCACGAAAGAAGCGTCTGGAACGACCAGAGCAAAACCACCAGCCTGTGTCCTCCCTGGGCACATTCAGAAAAGTCATCAAAGCAAAGTGGACCGTGGCTGAGGAAAGCCCTTCACAGGGAGGGAGGGAGAAAGGCGAGACGTGGACGTACAGAGACGCTCTCCCACTTCCCGCAGCGTCCACCACTCCAGGAGCCTCGCTGTGGCCCTGGGTGTGCTTGAAAACGGGGTACTATCACGCAGGCTGGAGGGTGAAGGAGGTCCTCCGTGCTTCTTGCTTTTCACTGCTACAGAGTGTATGTACCAGCTCTTATCATCCAAGAAATAAAGCGTCGGTCCCCAAACCTTCCCACGACACCGCATCACACGACTCTGGGTCAACTCCCGAGAGGGCAGCGTCAGTTGGCGTACTGGGCGTAGAAAGCCACTTTAACTCGCTCGATCTGATGGCACAGCTTGATGGCGGGCCCCAGCTTCAGCTCCATGCACTCCTGCACCGTGGGGAGAGTCAGCAACAGCAGTGCCTGCCCATCAATGTCCTGCCAGGAGACAAAGCCACGTTAGAGCCGAGGCACCGGGCACAAGGGATGGCATCTGTCACGGCAGGCTTCATCCTGGGGGCCAGGGGCCTTCGGTTCAGGAGAGCGTTGGCAGACATACCAACCTGGCCTGAGAACTCTCTCATCTTTCTGGTTAATAAAACCAGTCTGCTCCGAAAATTCTGGCTACTGTGAAATTCACACGCCTAGGCCGGTGGGGTCGAGGGGGTGGAACAGGTGAGCTGCTGCAGGACCTCCTCTTCCCCAAGCTTCCGGCCCCTGGCAGGGAGAGCCCCCCTCGCCCCCCGGCCCCCGCCCCAGTCCCTCTCGTGTTCTGCTGTGACTCCACATGAGCACTAGGAAAGAGCGCTCTACTAAAAGAAGCAGCTCTCTCTCTTCCTTGCCAAGGTCTGACATTTCACCATTGAAACGGGTGACAAGATGCTGGAGAGCTGTACCACTACCCAGAGCAGTTGGCTACTGAGGACAACTCGGGTATTCAGACGCACACAAAGGCACGCATCTCCATTTGCACACATGCACCACCCAGAATGAGGTGTGCATGGTCTGCATCCCGGTCTTGTCCTCGTGAGCTCTCTGAAGCCGTGCACCGGGCCCAGGCGATGACAGAGTCATCAGACTGTTAAGCTGCATTCACTGCAGAAGGCAGGGACAAGGCCCACCCCAAAGCTTTAAGATCCCCCTGCACTGGACATCTCTGCCTCTTCACCAGCTTGCTTCCTATAATAAACTGGGTTTATTTATGTAGATATTGTGTGATTGGTTATAAGTGCAATCCCTCCCTCCTATCCACCAAGACAGTCTTCACATTCCATAGGAAGTAAGAGAAGGTAACAATAAAGACTAGTGGTAGAAGGAGAGCACAAACCACACCCAGCAAACTAGAATTTCTGCCATTTGGAGAAGCGGTGAGCCTGCCGTAAGCCACGGAGACTTACTAGTCCTACCGCCGCACACGGGCACCTCCGACATCATGCATCCTGAGTCACATGTAGGAAGCTTATTTTCTTCAGATAATGGTTTATTTAGCAGTCTTAAAAATTCCAAAAGCACACAAAACAAAAAACAACCCAGAATGGGCATAAAGGTTAGCCTTGGGAGGACTACTGGTAGGAATGAGAATAATGTAGTGTATGATTAGTTTCAAAAGGCACCTCGATGTGCTCATAATCCCTAATACGTACAGCAGCAATAAAAATTAAGCATCAACCTTAGAGGCATCAATGTGGGCGCAATTAATTGTCTCAATTACGTGAGCGAGGCTGTGGTGTGCCCAAGTCCAGGCCCAAGGTAAAAACTATAGGCATATACACATTTGGAAACAATCCATTAGATAGAATCTATATGCCAGTGGCATGAATTACTGAAATCCAGTGTTTTAGGAGGTGATATATATCACAGAGGTCAAGTGGAAGATCATGAATGCCAGACTCAAGTCCCTGATCTCTCGATACTGGTTGAGGACCAAGACTCAAACTGGACCTTATCAAACCCCAAAGTAAACCGATCAGTCTTGAATACACGCCGAAAGTAGCAGATAAACTAACGAAGCTGTCAATGAATTTTTGATGCTGTTTCTTTCTTTTTTTTTTTTTTTTTTTTACTTTTTCTATCGTGCTTTTGCACGTTACTTTACTTGCTCTTCAGATGCCACCTCTAAGGCTAGCTGTAGTAAAGGGCAAACTGGAAGTGCTGAGAAACAGGTTCTGCTCAAGGTCATGAACCAAATAATGGTACCCCCTGACCTGGGACCTGGGAGCCCGACTCCCGCTTTCAGAGGCAAATCCACCTACATCATATCAAACTTGACAGAGGGGGAAAGGTCTAGGGATACAAAGTCTTGTGAGTATCACGGCCCTGAGAAAAATATGTTGTAAGTAGGAAATAGGATGATGTTATAAAACCATGTGCAGGTGGCTTAACCATTATGTTCAATGAAGAGCAGAAGAGAAACTTATTTTAGGATATAGGACACTTTTTTTTGGATGGAAATTAATGCCAGAAAAGCTAGTTGATCTAGCTAAGATCATTTAGTTGAAGACCATATTGGAACTAGAACCACGGCTTGCTTTCTTTTTTTTTTTTAAGAATCATTTATTTATTTTAGAGAGAAAGAGAGAGAGAGGCTGGGGGGAGGGGGCAGAGAGGAGGGAGACAAGCAGCCTCCCTGCTGAGCAGGGAGCCGACGTGGAGCTTGATCCCAGGACCCTGAGATCATGACCTGAGCTGAAGGCAGATGCTTAACTGACTGAACCACCCAGGTGCCCCTAGAACCATGCTTTTCTGATATTAAACTTTGGAGGGAAAACTGCAGCTCTAAACATCCATACTAGGTCATGATGGCGATCCTTAGACATACAGATTCAATTACACTTGAAAGCCAGCCCCCTAAAATGCTTCTGTAACGCTCTACGGACCATTTCAGTGAAGGTGGCCGCCATATGCATGCACCACATTTAAGTGGAGGATGTCACTCATTTCTTTACTCAACAAGCAAGCGTTTATTGAGCGCCTACTGAGAGGCAGGTGCTCTGCTGGCCTCTGTGGCTACTGCACTGAACAAAACAGACTCCCTCCCAGGAGAGGATGAACGTCAAGGTAGGCCATTATGAGGAACAGACCAACACAGTACAGAGAGTAAAGTGTGGACACAGAGCTACCGGCTCAAAGGGACGGGAACACAGCCAGTCTTACAGGAGTCAAGGAACACCTCAGAGATCAGGTGATGCCCCAGCTCAGACCTAAGGACAGAGAGGAATCACTGAGGGAAGGATGGACCCACGGAAGACAAGCAGTTCATGAGAGCATGTATTCGAGGAGAGCGCAGAGACACTGAAGGGAAAGCAGAGACGGGCCGAGACAGCAGTTAGGAAACGAGCTTCTGGGGTGTGTGACCAGAAAGTTGCTAAAGGTCGTTAGGCAGAGAAGTCACATTATAGCATGTGATCATCTGCAAGCTGATATTGGCCACAACGTATTGGAATGAATTAGGAGGCAGGGTGGGGAAGCCATGAGGGACTGAAGGGGAGAACATTTATTAGGGGGTGGCAAAGCTGAGCCTGTTAAGAGATAAGGTCACCCAGAACTGGGGTGCTACCCCTGGGATCCAGTACTGGGTGCCACGGAGCGGCTAGCCCAACCACAAACTGAATGCTCCATGTAGAATGGACAAAGGATGGCAGTGATACCCGGAATACAGAAGGCCCTACACAGATCAACAACGAAAAGACTTATATAAAAAAAATATTAGGCAAAAGGCACAAGTAGATATTTCACAAATGAAACAAAAATGATGAACAATTTAGGAAAAGATGTCGACCTTATCAGGGAAATGCAAATGAGGCCCACAATACAATTTCATGTCCACAGAAGTGGAGAAGTCACACAACGCTAGGTGTTGGCAGAGAAGTATATGGTAACGGGAAGCCCTAGAGCACGAGAAGAAATGTATGCTGGGAAACTACTTTGGGAAACCCTTTGGCATCACCTCGAAAAAGTAGGTGAGAGTAAATCAAACAAGAACACAACAATACAAATTTCAGAACAGTATTTACAGCTGGTAGAAATGAAGCGGAGTGTGATAGGACAGTAGATACGGCCATGTTGCAATGTTCTAGATTCTTCCTTGGACGGTGGCTTTCACAGGTGTTCACCTTATCAGTATGCCATGTATGCACAGGTCTCATGGGCACTCTTCGGGATGCACAAACCATTTCTCCATATAAACATATTAGTGCATCTACGTCTCAGATGCAAGCTGGTATCTCTCACTTGTTCTTTCTGAAATGCTTTTAGGTTTCTCCATTTTTCCCACACCTCACAGCCCAGGAAGGAGGAGAAGGGGATTCCCTTGGTAAATCAAATCTTAGTTTCTGAGGAGGTGCCAAGTCTTTAAAGCTGTTTTTCATTTATTTGCAAAATATTTGTTAAATTATTCGTATGTCGGACCCCAAAGTAGCTACTGGAGATACAAGACGAGTGAGACGTGGCTCCTATGTTTTCCGGCTGGGGAGCAGACACACGTATGCAGGTGGCCCAAATCTGCACAGCTTAGCAGACAGAGCTGGATGCGAGCCCGAGCACACAACAGGCTGGGGGGTGGGGGAGGGTGGGGTCAGGGACGGCCTCACGTTTTAACTCACTTTTGAGAAGGCATAGCAATAAGGGCAAGGGACTTTTTTCTAGCTTGTTTCCCCCGCGCTATCCTCAGCATCTAGAAAAATACCTGCCAGACACAGAATAGGGGCTCATTAAACGTTTGTTGAATGACTAAATGGGAAAACCTGGTCTGGGTGAACCTAAAAGTCAACAGATGTGTGAAGGCAAAGCGAGAGAATCAGGCAAGTGGACAGAAGGGGAAGAGAAAGAAGAGGGGACTCTTGGGCCATCTGAGTCCCCCAGGCCGCAGTAACAGACACGGCGGGCTGGGGGCCTGGTAAACAACAGGCACTTGGATCTCACGGCTCTGGAGGCTGGGAAGTCCAAGATCAAGTTGCCGGCAGATGGAGGTGACTGGAGAGGCCCTGCTTCACTGCGTCCTCACACAGGGGAGGGGGCCAGGGAGCTGTCTGTGGGCTCTCCTACAAGGGCACCGATCCATTCACGGGGGCTCCACGCTCCTGACCCCATGACCCCATGACCGTGGGGGACAGCAGCTTCAGTCTATAGCACAGATGCTACCGATGGGGCCATCAGGCTCCCATCCAGGGAGATGTGAGCTGGGGCGCACACTCTGAGGGTTTCTGGAAGTGCCTCCACCAGCCTGTCCCCAGCTCCCAAAGACTCCCCACTCTTTCATAGAGACCTCACATGGGAAGAAGTACGGAAGAGGAGCATCGACTCTATTCAGCTACAACTACCCTCAAAATAAAAACTCACATCTAGTGGTGAGGGAGAACTCCGGTCTCCGATCCCCAGATAGAAACCTCAAGATAGCCCCTCGCTTTGTTTATTCCTAAACCTCGAGGGGCCTCTGCCAACGGAGTGCAGAATCTGTGACAGGCCCGGGAGTGAATGTGGGGTTTACAGAGCTTGAAGGGCCCCGGACTCTTTCCGGTATAGCCCGAGTGTTCATCCTGAGCGATGCCACAAATTATTTTACAAAATTGGACAGAGAACTTGGGTCTCTTTCCTGGGACAGCTTTGGGGAAAATACGCACTTTTGACCAGTGGCAAACTCTACTAACCTTTACCACCCGCTGTGCCTCCCACAGCCCTGCTCCCATGGGCATCCCTGCAACCGCGCGGCCCAAACCACGGCGCTCACCACTCTGCACAGGCCACGGCAGGTGCTCTCGCTTAGCCGCACACACCCCGGAGCCTGCGGCCACTCCCGTCCCCTTCCCGAGAAGCCGGTCTGCCTGCTGCCATGCGATCTCTTCCCCAACCTCCCCTGCTTGGACTAGGCCACACCGCCCGCTCCTACAGCTGTTGCCCACTGTTTATAAGCCCGCTGTTCCGAGGCGCCTGGAAGCATTCAGAACCGGGGGCGACACAGCAGTTTCCGGCCCTGGCAGGCAGCCTCCCGGGCCCTGAGTGGCGGAGGGAAAGCTGCACGGAGAGCTCGGGGCAGATGAAACCAAACAAGGATGATGGTCAGGACCTCTAAATGGCCTCGGGACCTTTATCTGATCACAGCCCCCACCCCCCTCCCCCCAACGGGAGAGCGTTTCCCAGACCCTCCGTCCCTCTGCTCAGCCAGCAGCGAGGGGGCAGCGCCCAACGGTAAAGACGGCTGGGTTGTGAGGCCACGGTTGAGGGGAGGAGACTCCGTGCTCCGTGGTGCGACCTTCAAGTGCGGGCAAGCTGGAAGGGATGGACGTGTCCATGTCCTTGAACCTGTCCAACTACGGGCTGATACACATGGTCTCATGGTCTCTGGGGCCGCATGGAGCCCTGGTGTGGTGCAGACTAGCGGAGCTGGGGAGAAACACCCGGGAGAATGAGTCTGTCTACACAGACTCCAGTGTGCAGGGAGACAGAAAGGCCTTTCTCTGGGCTCAGCCAGCAGCGAGGGGGCAGCAAAACCGGGCCCCATACTAACAGGCACGGCACCGCAAGGACCAAGGGCCACATTCTATTTAAGGCCAAATTGTATTTAAGAGTTTCGTGTTTTTCTTAGTTAGAGGATGTGTGGAGTTTTACTGTATAATGTACACGTTCTCAGTAGAAAATTACAGAGTATAGATGCTTTAAGCTGTTGCTTAACATTTCAGAATTAAAGGCATACCTTCCGGTAATGGGAAGTTTATACTTTCTGTAAATGCTGCTGGTGATTGTGACAGCCCTGAATTTACACCTCCATGAGGTGTGCACAGAGCTATTACTGTTCCACGTACCGGAGTTTCTCGCACACTTGTGAACAGAGCTGCCCCCCCGCCTCCCCCCCCCCCCCCCCCCCCGCAGGTCATCGAAAAGCTCAGGCTGTGGGTAGACGGACCCACCGGAAGCCTCCCCAAATCAGGACCGTGGGGCACTTGGGCTCAAAGATGACTGAACAAATTAGCAAAAATTAGCAATTACGGGCGCTGATTGAACAGAAAAGGACTCAAACGCCAAGCGCTTCAGACAGCAAAGCAGGCAACAGCCTCTTATTGCGGCTAGGGCAACGCCTCCCGTGAAATTGGAAATGAAATAGGAATACAACTATGATCAATTACAGTCTACCTATTTTTCTGTCTCTTAAGAGAAATAAGTAGGTACGCAGTAGGACCAAGTTTTTAACCAGTGTGAGAGGCAGGGCCCTGCCTGCCGTCTGATTCTGGAAGTGGGAACGTGCCAGGCACGCTTCGTGTCTTAGACACCCTGGCTTGGGAAGGCTCAGAACTTCATGACACACCCTAAGAAGCTGGGCTTAGAAGTGCAAATAAGAACGACTCAGCATGTGTAGCATTTTAGCCTTTTGCCCAGGTCAGCTTAGTTTTCACGTTCTTGCCTCACATCAGAAGCCTGTGAAAGCAATCGCACGCGGGGCTGTTCACCTCTCTCTGTACCGCTGACCCGGAGTCGGGGCGGGAGAGCGCTGTGCCCTATTCGGCCACAGCCCAGCTAAAAACCATTTCCAGCCAAAAGTGCGCCTTTGAGTCTAAAAACGAAACAAAACAAAAACACAACTTGAGACTAACCTAGAACGCTGCCTACCACATCTGCCTTCTAAATATAGTTAAGGCCCATGAGCAGACGTTTCGTCGGTGCACTCGGAATGAACACACGACCACACAGACCCACGTGTTGAGCTCTGGGTCATCGGCACTCAGCGTCTTCTCAGGGCCACTACTGATAAATGCCCGCTTCGGAAAATGCTACACTAGACAATGCTTCTAGCAGGAGTTCAATCTGCTTTATTTGTGTTTTCAAGATGGAGATGTCCCAAACCACACAAGCCTTCACGGTTCTTACAATTCTCTCCCTGTCCGTGTGTTTTAAATGAAGAGACAGGCTCATTACTAAGTTCTTTACGTCTGATGCAGCTTTTTCCTATTTGCTTTTGTGTGTCACTCAGAGAGGGGGTGCTGGTAACAGCAAACCCCTGTAGCCGCCATTCCCCCTTCACGTACACAGAGTTGGGGTCTCCTGGAGGCTCTGGGGGCCGACCAGATGGGACCTCTGAATGCTAAGAGCCACTCCCTCCTGGGATGAGCTGGGAACCACATTAATTTGCTTTTCACACGTGGGCCTGGAAGAAGATCTGGGGGACTCACTGGGTGCAGGGGTATCAGAGGCCTTTCTTCTTCCCTTCCTGATTGAATGCCTGAGTTATTACCCTCTCTCTAGAGTATCGGTTGGTAGAATCTAAAAAAAGACCAGATAGACACATCTTTAACTGATCACATGGTAAACAGTACCTTTCTTAAGTACGAGGTCCTGAAAGACACATTCACGCTGTGAGGCAGTGTGAGAGATAGCAACCCTTCACACGAACGCGGGAGAACAGGTCACAGGCTTCACCTGGACCTTCCATGGGAGGCCGGGGAGCAGCCTTCAAGGTGGCTTGGGTCCAGACAGGCGATTTCTTTCCATATTAATTTAAGGGGCAACGTAAAAAAATTCCTCCTTTCTTAGGGCTCAAAGCATGTCTTACGCTTTAGCTAATTCTCATCGTCTCATCTACAGAATCAAAATTCCTTTAAGTATAGATTATGTTGATTGTTTTGCATTTACCCATCACTAGCATGGAACCGAACATACCACAGGTTTTTAACGTTGTTACAAAGGAAAGAGCGAAATACGAAAGCAGTGAGGAGAGGGCCATTGAGAGAAACACAGCAGACGGAGGGCTTCCGCCTCTGGGAAGATGGGGACACATCCCTTCCCTGTTTCTCCTGCTGTATAGAACTAATGAATCAAACAAACATAAGGCGGGGAGAAGAGAAGGCAGACCAGCAGGGACCTGGGAGCCCAAGAGGGCACGGTGCTGAACGCTTGGGTATCTGCATGCCTCCTACGTCCAAGACTTACTGCTACAGAAGCTGGCCACCCAATACTGCCCCGGGCATGGGTGAAAAGAGACCCAAGGGAAGCCTGCTCTTCCTAGCGGAAGGACTGGGAAAAGGGTAGTCTAGGGAGACAGAAACCCCCCTCCCCAGATGGCGATAAAGGCCAGAGGGCCCCAGGCTCCCAGCCCCTGACAAGGGAGACCGGGCTGGGACTTGCGTCTCTGCTGGACAGCAAAGAGCCCCCCACAGAGGTGTTAGCAGGGACCACGTGTGAGCCAGGCTTCCATCCCCCAGCCCCCCGCAGTCATGAGGGAGTACCCCATTCCCCTACCAGAGCCGTGTCACAGAAAGCAGCTAAACCAGAAAATCAAAGGAAAATACAACACAGCAGAAGGACCAGCACACCTGTTCCTGAAATATCTTGGCCAGGGGGGCACAGTCCGTCAGCTTGATGAACCTCACCACGTCGGTCACCGTCCACTCCAACGGGTTGCTCTCCAGAACAAGCCTCTCCTCCTCCTCCTGCTTCGGGTCCTGACAGGAGAAGGGAGGCAGGAGGTCATTCGATCCCTGCAGGGTCGGCGGGACACTCGGTAAACCCCGCAGACCTGAGCCAGACTTTCCTCCTCCCTCTGGCCTCTCCCTGGGCACCTGGACAAGCCACCGAGACTTGGGGCTCGAGGGACTTTCTTAGCAGCTCAGCTGGGTTATGATTTTGCCTCCAACGGCTTGTGTGCCGTTAGATGCTGAAAAAAAGGCGCCGTGAGAGCAGTTGCTGAAAACCCAGTTCAGGAAATCCTGGGCCTGCTTAGTGAGGATGCACCTTTGACTGCGGAGAGAGGGTACGGGGCGTGTGAATGCACAGGAGGCAGCCAGTTCTTCCCCCTCTACCCTGGTGATGACGGTGCCCATGACCTCCCGGCTGACCACTTACGGCCTGGGGGTTTGGGGGAGATCTGGTACGCTGACTCAGCCATCTCCCGTGAAGGGGAAGCCTTGTGTCCAATGGCACCCCGAGGACCTATTCTGTCTGTTCTCCTGACGAGAATCCTCTGCGGCTGGAAAACCTTCCACAGAAAAGCTCTCACGCCCCTTGGACTCCATCTGAGATGGGAAACCACCGGGCCTTCTCCCCAGACTCGGCACCAGGCTGGAGCTGCCATTACTCTGCCATTTTAAACACAGAGCCCCAAGTCAAGGCCCTGCACCGTACTGGCTTCCTTCTTCAACACCCTGCCCACAGCCCTGGCCCCACAGAGCCCAGCTGGGGGCCCCCGTGGGCCTTACCCCTGCTGGGTCCTGGCCAGTGGCCACGCCCTGCTCTGCCCCCTTGGCACACGAGGCGGCCTGCGCCCTCCGGCCCCGCCGCGGCCTCTCCACGGGCGGCCGGCGCTCGGGCTCGGAGCTGCTCCTCAGGGTGACGGCCCTCCGGGGCCGCGCGGAGGGGACCTCAGCCGAAGAGGTGTCTGTCTGGTCATCGCGGAGCTCAGAGCTGGTTTCCTCACTCCCAGTGTCCTCGTCCATGGCATCGGCATCCGCATCCTCTTCCTCGCTCTCCTGGGGAGAAGGGAAGGCACTGAATCCAGCTGGCCCTGTGCAAACCGCCGGGGGCGGGGGTGGCCCAAGGCCCATCCTGCGGTCCCCACCACGGTCCCCGTCGCCGCCCTCTCCCAGCTCGCATGGCCAGGCGGACTGAATCTGCAGGGCTCCTGGTGCCTGGAGTTTCCAAGCACTCAGCATCACACGTCAGCTGCGGCCTTGGCCGAGAGCAGCCGCGCGTCCCGGACGCATGCAGGAAGGTGCTCTGAGCAGGACATACCTCCCCCGAGCCTGCAGCCAAGTCCACAGCGGAAGACCTCCGCTTCTTCTGCACAAAGATGGACTTGCGCCGTTTCCTACGTCTGGCTGGCTTCGGGTGTCCGCTCTCAGTGCTGGCTTCCCCGATCGGGGGCTTCACGATCTTCTTTCTCTTTCCATAGTAATAGGCTGCAAGGAGAGAGAGGATCAAGAACATCTTCCAAAGGTCACACACACGAAGTACATCGACACTGAGAGAGTAGAGAGACCAGAGGAAGACCGGGGAAGAGGGAAGAAAAGAAAAGAGAAGAGAGAAAGATCGTTCTTTTGTTGGGAACATTTCTCCCATGCCCTCATGGTTAGAAGGTGTCAGGGACAGAACTACATGTCTTCAAAATTCAAATGTTAAAGCGCTCACCCCGCATGGCACTGTATTTGCAGATGGGGTCTTTAAGGAGGTGATTAAGGGTAAATGAAGTCCAAAGCATAGGGCCTTCATCCTATAGGACCAGCCTGCTTACAGGAAGAGGGACAGACAGCAGGAAGGCGAGCACAGGGGGACAGCCGTGTGAGGACAGAAGGGACGGCCGTCTGCAGCCCAAAGAGAGGCCTCAGGAGAAACCAACCCTGCCAGCACCTCGATAGAAGTCTCTATTAACACGCAGAGCACCCATTAGAGAGTTACCAACGTCCAGTAACGACTGCTGTATTTTATAAATTAAATGTATACTCAACTAATCGAAACCACTCCTAAGGATCCAGTTTTCAATTAAGATCCTGATCGAGACTCATTACCCGAAGTCTCGACCATCCCACAACGAAACCCCCATTATTCCATACAGAACCACCTGCAGAAAGGGAACCTTTATCTACGGTCAGAAGGAGCCAAGACAAATGCCCAAGCACACAGCTGCTAGGCTTCCATGGAGCACGTGATGTGTGGCGGAGCGTGGCCCCCATGCACACCCACGCTGCTGTATTCCCACGGGCAAGATACCCGGCCCTGGCGCTCGACGGCCCCACATGCGAAATGAGCCCAGTGGGACCGAGCAGGACACTCGATGCTTCACAGTGGTCCCTACGTACCAGTTACAGGTGGACAAGCATTTGTTCACACCCCAGGGCCCCGTGCGGGCAAGATAAGTCTGGTGCAGTTTGGCTCCTGAGAAGCCAGGAGGGGAGTTAAGATGGCAGAGGAGGAGGGGGACCCTGCACTCGCCTTGTCCTTCAAACACAGCTAGAGTAACTATCAAATCATCCCGAACACCCAAGAAATCGATCTGAGGGCTGAGAAAACACAGTGCACGTCTACCGGAGGTTTCCTAGAAGCCAGAGGCTGGAAATCAGAGCAGTTTTACCGAATACAACAAAGGTGCAGCACACTTTCAGAGTCTTGGGGTCACACTGGGGTGACTGCTGGCCTTGGTGCTCTCAATTCCTCCCCAGCGTGGTTTTGTCCTTTCCCTCTGGAGCATCAGTTCAATCTGCAGCAATATTTACTATACGTTGACCCAGGGATCTTAGGATTTTGACGTTTTATCACACGAGACCCAGAAAAATCTCTAAGGCATTTCGGTCGTGTTGAATCCAAGCTGTGGTAACCCACCTCTTCTCGTTTTTAAGGCAAACATTCAAGGGAGAGTTTAGCTCTCAGTCAAGTCCTTTGTAATTCAGGAGCATCTGTTACTGAGCAGCCTGCTCCAGGGGGTCTCTCCTCTGACCAAAGGTAACTTGAGGGGGAACCAAGTTCTCCAGAAAGGTCATTGATGTCACCACTGTCTGGAGAAGACTGTGACGTCACCACATCCTACCAACACACAGGTGGCTCTCCATGCGTGAGCGCGGGTGCAGAATGCCAGGCGGCCCAACCTGACAGAGAAGGGCACTGACTCTTAGCAGGAATGGCGTGGAAAAGAGTTTTTAGCATATCCATGGATCCATACAGAGAAAACTACAAGGAGATTCACACTCGGAACGGTGGTTCAAGTCCGTTCCGATTCCTGGTTCTGACACCCGGGCTGATCAGTCTCAACCAGCTGGGGCTCCCAGCACGCGGACTGCACTCCCGAGTCCTGTCAATACGCCGGTAGCCGGAAAGCAGGCTGGGAGAGCAAACCTCCAGGCCACCGTGACGGCGGCGCAGTCACGCCCGGGTCAGAGATAACCGAGGCGGGGAGGTGGCGAGAGCAGAAGCGGGGATCAGAGGGAGCTGTCAGAGCTTGACATAACCAGGGTGGAGGTGTCTGTGAGTGGCTATGGTGCATGTGGACAAAGGTCAGAGCTGAGGAAGGACAGGAGGACGGGAGCTGGGAGAGGCCACCAGAGAAGGCTGAGCACCATACGTGTGGGGTAGACAGCCCGAAAATCCTGCCAGGAAGTGGCCAGAGCAAAGGCAGGGCAGGGGGACAGCTGACCCCACGGGAGCACGGAGAGTGCGGGCTTCTGCACCCTCCAAACACCCCCCGTCCAGGGAGGTCCGAGGAGGTGGTATAGATAGGGGGAAGCAGCCTATGACAAGGAGCTCACCGTCCAGGGGAGCAAAGGCGCTCTCTATACCTTCTCAGCCTAAGGACCCAGAAAGCAATGCTGGTTACCAACTGTTACCAAGAACCAGTTTTATCCAGCTCTCCTTTCCGCCAGATAAATTTCCAAACCCAGCCAATGTCCTGAAACTCACAGCATAGCCCTTCCCATCTCTTCTTTGTCATCCTGTCCCTCCACTGGGCTGGAGACACGTGAGTATCTGCCACAGCAAATCTTAAAGAATTCTTTCACAGCAATTCCCATGAAAAATTACTCAAAAGTTTTTGTTTTTTTTTAGAAACCGATCAGCTACCTTATCCCACAGTTTAGGCCCCCAGCCCAATACTCTTCTCATTCTTTGAACTTACTGTACTTGGTTTTGGTGTGAATGGAGCAGTTCTCTGGGCAGTTCTCCGAAACCAGCACGGGACTGAACAAATTTGGGCAGCACTCCAGCTTGGCACAGACCCGCCGGCAGAAATCTGCTACCTGGTCCGATGTCCGCACGATTTTGGCCACGGCCCGGTACGTTTTGCCTCTGTACCTAGAAATGAGGAAGAGCAATGGCAAGACCACACAGTTACTTAGACCTACTGTGTATGGCGTGTTCTGAAAGTAGCCCCTTTATTTTCTAACAGTGAAGTAGGCTGTGTGTGATTTCCACGCCATTTGTTTTTATCGTTCCTTCGGAGCTCAGAGTAATGTTTTTAAGAAAGCCCACGCATGCGATGAATCACCACCACAGATATTTCCACGTGGCACTGTCTCACTGCAGTATCTGTAGTATTTAATACCCGTTCCAGAACGCTTCTGAAATCCAGATATTGTCATTTGTTGCTCCTTACTTTTGAGAAAAAAACCAACTTTCTCCTGCCTAAGAAAAACCACATGCAGTGAAGTCACCAACATAAAACTGAAGACCACTTCTTCTGGAAAGCAGGTTGAATGGATTCTCGGTTCAAAAATGGGCACCAAAGCCCTGGGCCAAATATTTATGGTGATAACCATGTAAATAATGCTTGGCTGGAAAGAGGGGTACTTGGATGTAGGTTCAAACCACCTTTCAGCACATTTTTAAAATATTGTTGGTACAAAACACTTATAAACTTCTCCATTAGCAGCAGATGACCGGTATTTATTTAATTGACATGTCACAGAACCCAGAGTCCACCGACATGAAGAATGCATCAAAACCATGGGGCTGTTCAACTACGCCCTTGAGGTGCACCCTGATTTTCAAGTTGAAATTTTTTTTTTCAAGATTTTATTTTTTATTTGAGAAAGAGACAGAGAGAGAACAAAAGGTGGAAGGAGCCCAGGGAGAAGCAAGCTCCCTGCTGAGCCCGGAGCCGGACTCGGGCTCCATCCCAGGACTCTAGGATCATGACCTGAGCCAAAGGCAGACACTTAACTGACTGAGCCACCCAGGCACCCTCAAGTTGAAATCTTGAACAACAATTTATCTTCCAGAAAAAAAGCGGGAGCTCTGGTGGATAACACTCGTGGAAAACTAACCACAATCCAGAGGCGTGAACTACTAAGTAAGCCAACGCTGCCCTCCTGCTTGTCCACGTCAATAAGGGTGATGGGCACGAGCTCTTTGCCAAACCCGCTCTGCACACTTGTGTTGCATGTTTCCAAAAGTCAGCCGCAAAACAACAGGGACACCAGGTGATTCGTGCAAACAGCGTAACATAAGGAGAGCATCACTTCAGTAATTTGCAAATGAAGTACTACATTCAAAACCTAGATCTGGTTCCCTAAGAATAATGCGGTGATAGAAATAAATAGGATAAACTGATTCTGAGTTTCTTTCAACTAGGCTTTTTATGCTTCTGAAGACTAGAAAAATATTCCCCCTCCCAACAAATCATTTTTTTACAGTAACAACAGCAAAGAAATTAATTTCTAACTTGAAAAAACTGGACTACGTGTTCATTCTCTGGTCTTTCAAATCCCAGCCCCTCTGTATTGACTGTTCTTGCATTTCTCTGAAGTGCCAAGCTTGGCTTTCTGTGCAGTAAGAACTAAAAAGCAATTCTTTGTGGATAAGATCATGCTTTAAATCGCATACCCTTGAACAACTGTTGATTTTTCTAGGACCTCTATCGACCCTAGATGTAGGAACACACACCCCCCACTCCGAGGAGGGCTCTGTGATTCATTTTTGGGTAGTTCTTGCTCGCTGATTTTGTTGTGCTTCATAATAAAACCAGCACAGTTCTGTGGACACGGCATGTCTCTCATGTTCTGGGGAAGGCAGAATAAAAAGATGCTCCTGGTACAACTTCCCTGGCAGTTTTTCCCACTGCAGTTTTGGTAGCCCTAGGGCTCTCTCTTCCAAAGAGCTCAATGTCAAGATTCTTAAAGTTCCTTAAAAAAATAAAATGATATAAAGTAAAAAAAGCAGGAGAAATGTGAAAATTGGGTCCGAATTCAACCTGTGGAAGTAGGGCCCAAAGACAGATGTTCCCAGACCTCCAAATTCCAAAGCTTCCCGAAACGCATTCGAGGGACGTGAAGAGGACAAGAACAAATGCCCTGCGGGAAATAGAGAAGGGTCAGCTTTTTCCTCCCTTCTAGTTTGGGATGACTCCGTGGAAGCAAGGCTTAAGTAGACCTTTCCCAATTAGGAAATGCCACTCTAAATTTATGAAAATAGGATTATAGTATGGTTTAAAAGTAATGGAATCCCCTCCCCTTGCTTGCCCTTCTGGAACAATTCCACCAAAAAGCCATGGTGGTGGAGGAGGAGGGCGGGGAGACTGGGCAGGGAAGGTGTGCAGGCTGGAGAGGCGGAGTGGGACCCGCGGTGTCCCGTCCCTGGGCGGATGCTGCCAGGACCTCCCATCCCCACTGCCGGCACAGCTGCTGGCCCTAGAGTGTCTGCCCAGCTGCAAGAGCTTGCCCCCTCCCCTCCCAGGGGCGGCCCCCATGCCAGGAGTCATTGTGATGGGGCAAAAGGGTCTGGCTACTTGGGCCCGACTCGAAACAACCACGGAGGGCCATTCTAACACCAGAGGGGCCGTGGGCTATAGTCCGGCTCCCCCTCTCCTGTGGGGTCAGTCCCAACGGCCCTCCTTAATTAAGAGGATCCAGACCTGTGGCAGGTGAGGAGGGAGGCAGGATGGCGGCATCCCTGTCCTGCTCAGAACACAGAGGATGTCCGCCCGTGGGGGACAGCCCGGCACGGGTCAGGTGCGAGGGCCCGGATGGGGGTGAAGAGAAGAACAAAAGGACAAGAGACTGGTTCCTGAATGGGGCCTGACCAAACACATCAACAGACTGAAGACAGTGTGAGCCAAGTTTCCCCTGTGTGTTGGGGGGGGGTGCAAATACAAGAAAGTAAAAGGCCAGAGGGGACCCCCTGCAGTGTTGGGCGGGAAGAGGGGGATTGGAGCCTGAATTCAGTCACAAGTGTGCAAGAAGGGCCAGGCTTGCAGGCCTGAAGCTGCTATCTCTAGAGAAGCTCGCCTGCAAGGTGGGCCCATGGCTGGTATCTGGGAACTGCATTTTGGAGGTGATCAAGGTGGTGAACCACACCCAGACTGTTTAGGCAAACCCGCTTGCTTCCCTGATCCATGCCAGGCAGAGTGCTGCCCATGGGACCAGCCCCCAGTAAAAGCCTCAGGCCTGGGCTTCTCTGGACAGAAACATCATGTGATACGCACTTTCGCTGCTGGGGAAGCAGAGTGCTCTCTGGAAACCCTCCCTGGGGGAGAGAGCATAAGGAGGCCTGAACACAGAGACTCTTCCAGACCCCACCTGCATCTCTTTTCCTCATGACATCACTGCATGCCCTTCCTACGTCACTGCAATATATCTCAGCCATGAGTAAAATCATATGCTCAGTCTGAAGAGCCCTTGTAGCAAAATTTAGACCATGGAGGAGGTCATGAGGGCTCAAAACCCAACAGAAATGTAAATGTAAATGTTTTTGTACGTATGTGTGTGTATACCTCCTCCCACCAAAAACAAAAAACAAAAAAAAAAAAAACCCACCACCGATCCTGAGAAAAAACCAAGTCTCCTTGGAGAGGTGGCTAACTCCAGGACTAGGGCAGAGAAGGGACAAGATGATCTGGGAACAGCTTACTGGGTCAGAAAGTAACAAAGTATCAAAGACTGATGGGGTCAGAAAGTAACAAAGTATCAAAGACTGATGGAGAAAAGTCAAGGTGATAAACAAAAAGCCTGCTTGGGGGGGTGGGGGTGGGGTCACCTGGGTGGCTCAGTCCGTTAAGCTTCTGGTCAGGATATCAGGTCCTGGGATAAAGCCCCGCATCGGGCTCCCTGCTCATCAGGGAGTCTGCTTCTCCCTCTCCCCCTGCTTGTGAGCACTCTCTCTCTCAAATAAATACATAGTATCTTTAAAAAAAAAAAAAAAAAAGCCTTCTGGGTGTGGTCCCCACTGGCCAAATCTGGGACAACCTGAGCATCCGATAAGTTGATGACTTCAACCCACTGAGTAAAACAGGAATCCATGAATTCATACAGACACAAATATAGTTGATGACTTCAACCCACTGAGTAAAACAGGAATCCGTGAATTCATACAGACACAAATAAAGGTCTGAAGATGTTGAAAGCTTGACAAGGAGTGGATATTTACAGAGTACGGAGTGTCGCCCCCACCAAGTGTCTCTGCCACGGAGCAGCGTGGCAGACGTCACCTTAATTAGGTGATCAAAGTAAACACGCCTAGGGAGGAGGCAAACAGAGATCGTACGCCAGCAGGCAGGATGCAGGGAGCAGAAGGTCCTTTCTTCTGTGATACTCCTGATGCATCATCTGAATCCCGTCATGCGGAAACATAAAAGAAACTCCTGATGAAGTGGCATTCTACAAAGTAAGTGGTCCATGCCCTTCAAAAATATCAAGGTCATGAAAGTCAAAGAAAAGTCTGAGCAACTGTCGGGAAGCAAGGGGACCGGAAGAGACAGGGCAGCCCAATGCAACGTGAGACCCTGCGCTGGGCTCTTCCGCCCGAGGGACAGCACTGGGACAGTGGGTGAGACCTGAGTGTGGTATGAGGACCACTCATATGTATCACTGTCCTGATTTTGATTATGTAGGAGAGCGTCCTTGCTTGTAGGAAATGGGTATTTGGGGGCGATAGGGCATCATGCCAATAACTTATTCTCAAATCGACCAGGAGAAAGAATATAATTTAATTTTAATGAAATGTTATATAATTTTAACAGTTGGTCATTTTTCTGTACGTTTGAGATTGTTTCAAGCTAAACACATAGAGAAGAAATAATAAAAATAAATGTTATGTGTATAACGACTCAAACTACATTAAGCTTAGCGTATAACATGATTTCCATCTATTTTCGAGCGCTACGGGTTCAGTATGGCCATACGCTTGTGGATTTTCGTGCAATGCGGGGAAGATGCTGTTTGGACCTCGCAAGCTCCTGCGTGAGCCAATAACCTCGCTTGTCTGGAGTTGGTCGACAAATGAGGGCAAGTGTTCGCACAACTCTCTTTCACGAGGACGCACTAAACATAGAGATACTGGTCCACCAAGAAATACAGGCA